AACAATTGATACAACTGACAAATACGTGTTTTCAATATCAGTGTTCCCTTCAATAAATTATTGCTTTCATATGTATTCTTGATAAACTTATACTTTCATAAAGATGTAGCTTATAATCTATCAATAAAAAAATGTGTTGATGCATATAAATCTACTTTAGTTCTATTATGCTTTCTATAACCTCAAAAGATATGCCAAAATGATGTGTAATGTTTTTCTGTTTATTTTGACTATGATTTTAGGTAAATATAATTATAACTTGCGGAAAGACGTAAAGGAAATGCCGTATACCACTCAGTTTTATAATACATCGTTATGTGCTAATTTAATACCTGTTCTTAATAATGTTTCACCTTCTCAACTTGAAAAACATATTTTACTGATTACCATAAACTTAAAATTAAAATCATTCATACCATGTGTATGATACATTTTCATTAAAATCTGATCATAAAACAAAAAAATGTATTAATGCAATATCTGTTGGTATACTGTTTCAATGATTCACATTGATCAGAAACAAGAATTACAATACAGATTTTTAAAGCTTTAGTGAATTAACAATAAAATATGATATAATACTTTATCATTCTTAACTGTTTTGTTTAGAATTAAAAAACCTCTCAGTGATATATTCTTCAACATAGAAGTAGTTAGGAATTTGTCGATAAGCTGTGATTTCATCAATTGACTAGCTTAATAAATTAATATCTTCAAAATCTCATTACGTTTGCTACTTATGTTAATACTGGATGACGATCCTTTGTTATTTTACCATTGATCAAATTGAAAAAGTTGTATTCTTTGGTTATTTTACTCTAAATCTTGAGATTTTATTCATTTTGTACCTATCACTATCGCGTTTGTTCTGGTTCAACCACGTTCTTTACTTTTGAGTGACCACTGTATCTGAGATTTCCTATTTTAGAAATCTGACAAATACACATTCGTGTCAAACATTACGTTACCTGACGGACAGATATATACTTTACAGTGAATGGTATTTTACTGTCTATTTAATCAAATAGAACAGACTGTACTAAAAATTATATTTAGATGAAAGTTATTTAATAGCTAACATTTCATTCCCAGTTTCTGTGATAATGTCGTTTTTCAGAGCAGTTAAGTACCATAAACATTTCAGTAACTAATTAATTTCTGTTTACTGTGCAATAGTATAACCATTACTACACGATGGACTTAAATTTTAAAAAATGTTGAAACAGACTTTAAACTCATATAGTATATGTGTGAGTCAAATCAATATTAAGAAAGATAACAATAATAGTGTTGGTTATGCATAAGGAATGCACTTGTACAACAAGAATTCTAAAAATTCTAAGTGAACCGAGAAATAACTTATACAAAAAATGAATGAGTTTATTTCATTTCATTTATTCTCTGATGTATGTCTACTCTGATTAAATCGATTGAATAAACATAACGACGTGTATATGAAATTATATGTAACTGAACACAGACACTTTAATTTTTAATTTTAGAAAAACAATAAAATGTAGGAATGTTAATTTTACTTAAACAAACTTATTTTGTAGAAAAAATAGAATTCACAGACAACATAGATTTTAATAATAAACACAATGTAAGTAGACAGAAATACGGTATCACAGAATATATATAAAATTAAATGCATTTATATACATATTTCTGCATTTGTCACACAAGTTGAATCTAATGGTACTCACTATAAGTGATGTAATAAATTGACATGATCTTACTCATAAATGAATATAGTTGTTACCCTCGTGAGTTAACTAATATATCCTGGGGATAAATTAAAAGCGATTTAATACTCAAAAGCTTCTTTGTCTTAGTTTTAGCCTCTGAAACAATGTGCACTTATGATCGTCGTAGAAACTGACATAGTGGTTATTTAGTAAGCAATCACTTTCAGTAAACTAAGTAGAAATCAAATGGTCTGCGGTCCCAACTAAGGTCGATTGTCAATCATTCAATACTGCTAGATATCTTTCAGTTTGAACGATCACTGGAACTTGTCTATTTCATCCACTCGTTAATAATAAGTGGATTAGAATTGAAATTTAATATCGTTGTTTTGCATGACACATATATCATAACCATATTCAGAATTCGATTCAAACCATGAATATTTTCTTTAGACGCATTTTTATGAGTGAAAAACATGTGAATACAATTTAGATCTCAGTTTATTAGATTAGAATGATAATCTCCAAGTAAATAAACAGCACAATGGAAATCAAGAAAATACGTTTATCTTAATAATATGTTAATTTAATAAAACAATCAATATATGAATATCTTGCCATAGTTCATAAATTTTATGTATTGAAGCTAATTGAAAACATAGTTTCTTTCATCTACAAATGCTTAAATCAACCGCACTCTTAGTAGGATAACAGTTTGAAGAAAAAAGAATACATATTAGGAAGATATAAATGTGATCAACAAACGTATTTCACAGTAAGACGAAAAACGTTCTAAGCTACTTAAACGCAGTCAGAGGATGTGAACTCATATTAGAGTAAATACTTTCATATATTCAAAATTTATTCACTTACAGAATGAATAGAGAATGAACATGATAAAAAGTTAACTGGATACTTGTTACGATGAATTTTTCACTTATTTATCAGTGTCATAAACACTGTTAAGATTGAAACAGTATCTAATTATCAAAAAATATCTTTATTAAAATTATCAGTGACGTATTTGGATGTATATAAAGAGGTGAGATCAAATAGGTTAAATAGTTGAAAATATCTTGGTTATCAAATCTTCTAATATGTTTCATAGGCATATTAATTATAACTAAAGTAGTCTTTAAACAAAAATATTATTGGTTCTAAATATAATACATCTACAGAATTATTGTTTCGCACTCTGTCACAACAATTCCATTATAATTGAAGCTAAAGTTGTTTTAACCTCGTTCAGTTGTTAGAGGGCTCTGAATTTAATTGACTGAAAAAAATCATGACATCAGATTAGAAAGTGTTTAATAAATAACACAGAATTCAAATGTCAAAAACAAACATTATACTGACATCAACATTTTGTATAAGACGGATTGATATTATTGGTTGAATAGATAACACAATCTATGATGAACAAATAAACCCATCAGACTTGCTAATCAAAAGTCATGTTATCGGATAAATTAATTACCGATGTACATAACATTGATTTGACTGACAATACATAACGTCGTATTTTGACAGTGTCATACTCTAAACATGAAAATTTTTGATAAATATAAACATATGGACAGTGATTATGGATAGGATTTGTATTGACAAACAATGGTGGAAGCTGATGCAGCATATATATTTCATTCTTTCCAACTTAAAATTGATTTTTAAAAAAACCACATATCTAGTGTTTATTGAATTGATGAAAATGAAGAAAATAGAATGGATAAGAAAACCAAAATCTAAATGATGAGAACAGAAAAGAAGGAAACGATGTTAATGTCATAAAGTTATTCACAGCTTCACATGACTAATGACTTATAAACAAGTTTAATCTACTGCTATGAATAAAATACTTTTTTGAATAATTTTTCATCGACAAAAACTGTTATATCATTTGTGAACTGTAACTTTTTTTCAATCTGAAACTTGATTGTTTCATATGTATGGTTAAACTGCTAGAAAAATGGACGACTTATTGACTTATGAAAAGATATTTAATCTTAAAAATCATATGCAACAAATATCGTTTTTAATCACTGGTTGGAATGCAAGCTAAGCGTTTTTATCTCTTTGATTATTTCACATATATTCTTCATTCTTGCAGCAATCAGAGACGTCTTTATTTTATTCGTGCACTCTTGGTTTAATATGCTTTCGACTAATTAATTTATGATTTCTCTTCGTACAACACAGCTACTCTCATTGCTTAACATTCTTCGGGCAAACTTCGTTTGAAAAGTCCCCAAATGAAAACACAGTAAGACAAAAATAGTAATTATATTCCAAGTAAAAAAGATTGAATGTAGATATGAATCATAATGAGAAAAACGTTATTGTATTTATAATTTTACACGAGAAGATTCTAAAGTCTTCTCTCATTGTCCACTAGCACTGATTGGCTAGGAAATGGTTAATCAGCGAGCCTCAACATAGTCCTTCACATAGCATTATTTAATCCAATCTATAATCCGTCAACGATTCTCAAGACTCATAAAAGTTGTTTGATACATAACAATTGTTTATAGATTCAGCTTACTTTCATGGCCAAAAGAGGGTAAAAAATTGCCTACCACCAATCTTTTAGCGTGATGTCAAGTTTTAATAAAGTTTCATCTCAATTACATGAAAGTTATAAGATATTCAATTGCATTTTATCAAGTGTACATTCAAAAAGTACATTTCAAATGCATAAAACGTATAGTATCCAAAATATACTTTCAATATCAGTTTACAAAACGTGTTGAAGACCACAAACACGCTGAGAATGTTCTACAATTCTTACTACGATGTAAAGTACAGTTCTGTGGTTCTATACTCAACATTGCCTCTGAAAAAGCATTTACATTATAAATCGTGGGCTGATTTTAAATAACCACATATAAACGTTTTCATCGTTATAAACTACTTTTGTTGATAAACAAAGATGCCACAAAATAGGAAAGGCATACAAAATGTGAACATGTTACCTTATAGTTAATATTTCAATCTTAGAGTAATGTAAAATACTGTGAATCTTAATTTTATATTACATAATCTCTGAAAAAATGAAGTATAACTATTTCAATTAAATCGAAATATAAATTTAGAGCAACAAAGTAGAAATCGACTTTTAAAAAAAAACAGATATACGTTTGTGCTTTAAATTTCACTCCTAATTTTGGCTACATAACGATCAATATTTTTCAGACAACTGAGAGGGTTGGTGTTAATGAGATAACTTATACTTATTTTTTCGAAGTAACCAAATTATCTACATCACGAAATTATTTTCTAAATTGTAAATAAATTTATGGAAATAAAGCTTACTTTGTATGATAATTTGGAGTTGCATGTAACTGTCCACTTTCACTTTGATCATCTAATGAAGTTATATGGAAGAAAAAAGGAAACAATTTTTACTAAAAATGAAATAATGATAAGAGCAAACTATTCACAATTTTGACTTTAATCTTGACAAATTATAAAATGTAATCTGACATTAATGATAAAATATCATTTAATCAATGAATACTGGATATCCAGATAAGAGCAATTATAAAGTCTTCAATGATCATACATACTCAAATATTTAAGTCAGTCAGTCAGCTACAACGTAGGACCAGGCACATATATGCATCGGTCCAGGTTGCCATACCTCATTAGCACAGCAAGATGAACACCGGATTCATAGGAGTGGTTAGGTCAAAGGTGGTAATATATAGGAGAAAGATTGCAATAAGGATATGAAGCGATTTTAATCTCTTAGTTTAAGGGAAGACAGGGAGTGTATACACCGACGCCACTGTGACCGATTCTGAGCCATGTCACCAAGAGTTACGAAAGTCACGCGGACCCCAACCAAGTAGTCTGCATCTACCAACATGGCTCAGACTAGAGGTTAGTGTCTTCAAGCACTGATGACACGTTTTGGTTTGGCCGCAGTGCCCAAGGGACAACTGCTTGAGGTCGGTCACACACAACAGATATGACTTGTTGAAAAGATAAAGTGTATTAGTAACTACATATGAAAGAAAACGGAGTTAAACGATGTAAAACGTTACTCAATCTTCTAATTCTCGTGGATAAAATAGTTTTAATTGTTTGATTACAGTAAAGTGGTTCTCATAATAAATCAGGGACCACTTTTTAAAAACCAATGATACCACAATCTAATGGTAAAAACTGATGGACGAAGAGAAATGACAAGGTAAATTAGACTGATTATAAATCATAAAATATCAAAAGCTTATAAATGTCAACAATATGACCGATCAGTGTGATTGATCTACTTTTTTCCAGTTTTTACTCTGTTGATCTGAAATGTGTCAGACTCGTCGTTCGTTTAGTATCTTATGTAATTAACTTATATTTGATTCATCAAAATTGTTATAATGTGGATGTGTATTGAGAACTTTCCTTTTTTAAAGTCATATTATATCTCAGATGAATGCTTTTTAGTGCGATTTACATTTAAAACAGTTTTAAATGCATAGCTGATACTTTGAGTGATAACTGTATGTAAGTATGTTGAAGATGGCTTACTGGATATGAAATACGATGCATTTCTACATATAAATCATAAAAACGCAGTGTAAGCACACCTGTGGTTTAAAAGTTTGATGTAATACAAAATTTTCAATGACTGCTTTTCAGTATTTTGAAATTCGCCTTTCTAAAATTAATCGCAAGTAAAATAATTTCACATTTTGTGAGTGAAATTATAAATATACGATTTTATTGAGTAAACATAGTAATCAACACTCAGCGATTGAAAATCACAAGTTATGTTTCGTGTGTATAGTTTAAGCTATTTTCTTTGCTGATTATTGAATAGACAGAATGCATTTAAAATGGAGAAAATTGAGATAAATAAAGTACAAATTGGTTAACATCCGACATTACTAAATGTTACACAGAAAACGTGAATTTCTAAAATAGTAATTTTAAAATTCTAAGAAAATTACAAAAACGATATTGAATGAATTTTTTTAAAGAGAAGCTACTTATAATTCATATAAATGTCCTTAAAATTACTTCAGGGTGTTACAAATTACATACACTTAAATTCTGGTGTACTTAGTTGTGGAGATAGACCCGACAACCTTATTTTGTAAATAGTTTTCAATGTTATTTGTATTTATTTTGTCAACCTTCCACTGTATGTATATTTAACATTAAATGACTGTAACTGTTGTTTTAGTAAATGACCTTGAACACACTTTCCGTTGTACTACTACATAGTGTGACATACCGCTGCTGGCTAACAAATGCACTGCTTCTCACACATTACTCGTTCTATTTTCATTTGTGTTTGAGTTAACGGAAGTCTAAATCAAATACTATCTACATTTATAGACTGTAATCGGAATATATCACATCCTACGTTGGACTATATCACTAGAGAGTTCGCCAACCTGCTCAGAATCAGCAAACATTTATAATTGTGGATTTACATTACTGGACCTAATCATAACACGCAACGTTTGATCAATTTAAGTAACGTCGCTAATTTTTATTGTATTTGTAACAATTATCTAATATATAATTAATATTACCATTGATTTTTAATAACTTTGCTTATACTTTTTGCGTTCATATCTGTTTGGTCCACCACATGTTCAGCACTCAAGGTTTTATGAAATAAACATAATAATTCTCACAGTGTCTCAAGATGCTAATCAATGAAAACGATAAAACAATTTCTCAGAAAGTACTGGCACGTATGTTATGAAAAATATGATGACGTGCGGGTATGTAATTATAGAAAGTGTAACTATACACAAACACTTCAAACCTATTATTTCCCACAAGATTCCCACCAAAAGCTTATGTGCATGGCACCTTATGAAAAGTTGTCTAGGCAGATTGTAAAAACTAAAGTAAGGATAAATTTGTTGACTGAGAAGAAAAGACTGCTTAATCTTGAACAGTCTAAATAATTTGTTGACGAATGAACCTCTACCATATTAAAATAAATATTAAGAGCATAATGTACAATAAACACATGATATTTCTATAGAAACAAACGTATACTATTGATATTTGAAAGTTGGCGTGATCAGTATACCGATAGTGAATAAAAAACGTATACACACACACAGAGAGAGAGAGATTCAAAATATAGGAAGCAAGTCAATCAAAGTAGACAAGAATCTAAGTCCATAGAAAATGGCTAAACGGGGTAGTGTACACTACAATCTATCCGCTAAGCAGAATATCATCCGGACAAAATTATTGAGCCCACTAAACAAGCATAACTCTAAATATTTGAAAAATTAGATCGAGGAGACCCAATAACTTCAAAAATACATGCAAATATTTTATTCTGTTGAGTTATCATCAATGTTTACCATCTTAAAATTGATTTTCATATATCTCAAGAATGATATCTTAAATAACAACAGGAAAGTAATTGTTAAGAGGAAAACTTATTTGAACACCAGCTATGATGGACGAAAGCGATACATCTAAAATGACTATCCAGATGAACAAGAGTGAATCAGGTGAGCTTAATTGTTATACGGCTACGACGTTTGACTGAATGCCGTACGCTATTTCTTTCTGTTAGTTCCAATGACACCACTATCAAAGCAAAATATCCACCGTGCCTCTCATTGTACACAGTTGCCAGACATTTTTGTCTATGAATAAAACTTTGGGCAGAAAATTTTAAATAAATTGTGTGAGTATCAACCAATACCTTAGAGATGCCCTTCAGGCACTTAAGTAAATTAAAGATATTACTAAGAAAATCAAATATAAGTGTTCCCCTAGTAAACTTATCTTGTGTAAAAGCGTTAAACTTTGAATTCAACCAGCCAGTAAACAGTAACAACATACGCAAAGGTCTTCACCATTGATGGGGTTGATAAGTAGGATCTTGTGAACTATTCTCACATTGTTCGTGTAAACACGCAAATCAGACACACATATTCAAACAGTCTGTGTGCGTAAAACTTCATCATGTTTAATTTATGAAGGACCAAATTAAAAGTAAAAAATGAGTAGGACTAAATATTAGCACTAATATAATGAACACTTTGGTATTATCAGTAACAAAATCGGGCGTAAATCTATTCAATTTCGTTTGCTAATCAACTTACATCCAAGACATGCTTGTGGAATTTGATCAATATGCAAGTAATCAAAGTTGTCAAGACTAGCTAGCATTTTGTTGAGATCTTGAACGCTATCTGGTTGTGAAGAACTCCAACGATCACCGTTCCGACCAATGGTTTGTCCAGATTCGCATTGTCCTGGATCAAGAACAGTGTAGTCTGACTCAGTCTGTTCCTTCGTTTTCGTTACATGAGCGACAGTATTACTGCATTCGGAGGATGAATTGAAAGCATTATTTTTCTGTAAGATTCTTTGATTAGTTTGGTGCAACTCATTTAGAAGACTATCTGTAAAACAAATCAAATTTTATAAAATAACTTGTGAGTTCCCAATTTCATTTAAAGGTCACTTTGTTAAAGTCATTAAAATACCAACCAAGTTCATCCATTTACGAACACAGCGGGGTAACGTTATTACTAACGACCTAAAAATAATTTACAATGTCAGTGGTTATAACAAACCTTAGCAATGCATTGTATTCAATATTATGATTAAAATGTACAGGAAAGTGGTTGTGGTTATTTTGAAGTTCAAAAGATCTGACTTAATAATAATAAAAGTATAGGTGATTTATATTTCTTCATTACTTAAGATGTATTGATTTATTTGCTTAATATATTGTAGGGCCAGCGAAATGTCACTAAGCCTAGCCAAATCATTGCCAATGTTAATCTATTACTGTGAACTTTCGTTGCTTCATCTCAATGTTGATTAGCATTTAAACTTAAATAATTAGTTCAATCGATAGGACTAACTAATCAACTACGAATATAATCGGCTATGGTGGTTTTTAAAAAAGTATTAGCAGCATGTATATGCTCCTGTGTAATATGTCTCTTAAGATATCAACCACTAGTGAGTATAGCCACAAGGCAACATGAATGCATATCTGTTTGTAATTTATCCACTAGTATAATCGAAACAAGATTAACTGTCGACTATAAATTCATCTTTCTGCTTGACAACTATCCAGTAGAATGTTTTACTTTTCTGGCCACTGCCAGCCTAATTTCGAATTGCTGAGTTCCATGGCCAAACAAAGGGTACGAATGCTAGAGATTTGCGGTGAGCATGAACTACTAATTTTCTGCAATCTTAGATCTTGTTTGGACTGTTCGTCAGGCAGTTCTACGTATTTGACTTAAATTAATTTTACACTTAAACAAAATCAGTCTACAAAAGCTGTGTTAATCGAAGAATTCAATTTACAGTACCTCGTATATAATCCAGGTTCAAACTACTGTCTACTTCATATCTTAATTACTTAGAAGCAAGTGTAACCCAGGAGAGTTTCATAATTTCATTAGATTATGTCGTACTATATTTATGGTACGCAATAACATTTCGTAGTCGCTTTCACGTGAAGTAGTCATATATTCTCTCACTGCCGTCAAGTGTTAGTCGAAATCATGTACATTTACGACTCGTTAGTTTGCATACTGTGGCAAAACATATTGCATGTACACGAGCACGCCTAGTCCATGTCCTAAGAAGACACTTTGTCGCATGTAGTATGTCATCTAACACTAGGTAATAAGCTCTTTGTATCGGCCTTTTACGAAATGGCCGCACCACCTGAACCTTCTAAACTTTCGTTACATTGGTGGTCAACATTTTAATTAATGTTTAATATTCTCCTTGTATCTGCCATTATTTCACATGGTATACCACGGCTCGATTCCTCTATTACACGACAATCATTTAAATTCCATTTTCGGTTTATTTGTATGCGATACGGGTTTAAAAAATGTCTAAACGTCCTCAAAAATTCTTCACTAACCCAATCATAATTTTGGTACATGTTTTTATTCACACATCCAACTGTTACACTTAAACGAACGTTTAGAGTAACTGTCAGTATACGTAAGAACGACATTATTTAGATTTGACTGTATTACACATCTGAATTATTGTGGTTATTCTACGTCGATGACCTACTTCATTTTATGAAGTATTGTTTCCTCGTGGTTGTTGTCTAACAGATGATTTCGGTACATAAATCGGCTGTTCAACTACTCGACGATTTACAACCTGTCCAGTTCAATTGGTGGTCTGAAGACAATATCATTCGCGTGAATCTTCAGTTTGTTCAGTCGACCGAGTCTCCTGCCAACTGAAAACGACATTGTCGCCTCTATACCAACACTGACAGCGTTTTTCACTGATATCACTGACATGAGTCCAGAGTGATACTCTTTGTTTCTTATGTTCTTTTCGACATTTTCCTGTTCACTAATCGAACAAGCAAGCAGCACTCACCGTTTATTATCTTTTAGAGACTTCATAGTGCAACCTTTGCTGTCGATTTGTAGCCTTCGACCCTTACTGACTGTAACAGCAGTCATCGACTTTTCAAACTTTGACTGCAAGTTGATTGATAGCTTCGCACAACGAAATCACGACCATTCTTCACGGTTATACTTCTGGACTTACGGCTAGTCTGTTCAATATAGATATAACTAGCAGTTGTCAACGACACTGTCTGACATTCAACTTTAAATCAATGGCAGTATAGACATAGGCATCGATTGATAATACACTTATCCTACCGTCACAATAGCATCATTACTCTTGCGGCAAACTTAGCGTTTCTCATCGGAGGAACTCATTTACTTGTCAAAGCTATATATTTCAGCGTGACTTGATAGCACAACAAAAGGTTTTGTTCTTTTTATTACTTCTATGGTTAATCGCCTTACGTTTAACCAACGTCGTACTTAAATACTATTACTCGCTGTTTTCCCGATCGGTTTCTACCGCCTACTTTCAATTTTGCTTTACAGCTTGGCAGTACCCGGGGAGTTCATATTAATCGTTTGGTAATCTACGGCGCGCAACTACTCCAAACGTGTTTGGTGCCAATTCAAATGGCCATTGAATTTAGTCGGGGAGTATTGTAGGGCCAGCGAAATGTAACCAAGCCCTAGTCAAGTCATCCGGCAGTTGGGTCGTTTAATATCAAGCAAATCATCGATCCTTGTCAAGGTCAGGGACAAGCAACGCGCATCAGTTAATCGTACGCCATGCACTAACCCATGCGGCAGTAATCTTACCTTCGCTTGTATCTACTTTAACTAATATATTTCTGAAACAACGTCCTCTGTGTTGTACAGTCTTCTAAGCATCTATGGTATCTTGATACGTTCATGGGGTAGTCCACGTAAGGTGCTGACCACGAGGTATAACTTCGACGTTAGCTGGGTTGACACACCATTCACGTCTAACTCGAGTAGGCCTCCAATGATTTTCGACAGAGATCATCTACATTTGTGGTCTACAAAATCTTATAAACTCCCTCAAATAATTCGAGCAGTAATCGAGTAAACGGGATTTCATCTTTTATCTACAAATATAGTGACCTAGTTACCACACCATTTCTATTAAGGCTGTTAATTCTTTCACATTCCCTCTATAGAGTTAGATACTTAACGAAATTGTTAGAAATCTGCATATATCATAACACGCCACAAATCAAAAGTGAAGACTAATATTGCAAATTTTCAGCCCATAAATCTTACACCAGTTGTCTGTAAGACTATGGAAAAGAATTGGTGTTGACAAAATCTTTGTCTATATACTCGATGAAAAATTTATCAGTGATTATCAATGTGAGTTTTTTAAAATTCGATCTTGAATGTCCTGCAACTCTGATTTTAAGTTTCTCTCTAATCAACGTAACCGAGTTTATTTAGTCTTAGTGCTATACTTCGATATTTTTAAAGTTTTTGACATTAATAACTATCAGAGTCTTATCAGCGAACTAGTACCATACGGAGTCAAAAATTTTCTCCTTGTTTTACTTAATCTTTACCTTATTCACCAACAACAAATAATCATAATTAACTTCTCTTTGTCGGATGCCATCACGGACAAAAGTGGGGTAATATTAGGTAATTTCTTAAGCCCCTCACTTCTTTTAGTTTACATTAGTGATATATGCGACTGCTCTTGCATGGATAAGCCTCTTCCACATACATAGGATCTTAAAGTATTCATTTTAACTTATGAGCTGAACAGCATGGAAACTGCATCAGAATGGAACACAGCAAGATGGCCTAAAGGACCTCAAAATTGCAGTGGCAGCGGAACAAAGGTAACAGTGGATGGACGTGCGTCGATAATGCATCATTCAACTCAAATCTTACCACAAATGATAAGGTGTTATCTAATTTTCATACAGTGGTGAACTTGGGACTTACGCTCTCGTACATTTTGTCTCTCAGAAAACAGGTTTCGAAACAGACATTTAAGTCACAACATCTTACGGATTACATAACTCCTAACCTCTATAAAATTAAGTTACGTGTTTTGATGTACGAAGTAAACTTTCTAGCACTCCTAGAACACTGCACGTGTGTTTTTTGGTAGTGCAAGCATAAACGATAAGTTAAGGTTCGAGTATACTCAGAGATCATATACACATCGCATTCTTTAAACTAGTTTTATCTTAAATTACCAGTTCAAATGTTATAAACTTGGTCTGGACGCTTATGGAAGAGGATACTCAAATTAAATTTAACCTTTTTCTTCAAAATACTTAATAAACTGTTCTTCACATCAACAGACATAATTAAATATGCAGAATTTTCTAGTCACGGCATCTGCAACTATTTGTTATTACTGTAACCATTCCTCTATATGGATTGCTTTATCAGTACATGTCGCAGACTGGAAAAACTTGCCACGTCTTGTCTGTGAGATAGAATTGTTTTGATATTAAGCCCTAACCACATAATCCTCAAGGCTTAATACAAGACAACTGTGAAAATAGACATTCAGCACATAACGCGAAGAAAGGCGGGAAAAATAACAAATCCAATGGACTCAAATTCATCGAATGGCATTGCTCTGCCTTGCTGGTGTGTTTATTCTTGTGAAGTTTATACCTTATGTAGCATCACGTTTATCCATATTAAATATATTTTTTTACTTCCAGCTCAAATATGTTCTCTATCATATATTGGTGATTGTTATGATTCGATGAGTCAGTGTAGACAATGATGTGACTTCCACATAAGATCATGTAGATTGGGCAGTTACATCATGACAAATCTACAACCCTAGGATTGGGCCTATTATCAGAGCAGCAGTAATAACGAAGTAGATCATAATTCCACAGAGTAACCACTAATCTTAATTCAGTGCACTGATTCTTACATTACTTCAGTGAATGTTCCTATACCTGTAAACGTATCTCATTCTACAAGTGAGACTATAGGGACCCTTAATATTTAGTCATTTTTATTGCTTAATCCGCCAGGTAATTCTACCGGCCACGGTTACTTTACACTTGAACCATCTTGAGCAATTATCATTAATTTGAATAACGAGGTAGAATAGTGACGTTTCAGTGTGCCCTAGCCAAATTATTCGGTAGTTAAGCCACTG